TTTTTTTTAGACTGCTCTATTCCAGTTAATGTTAACTAGAAATAGAGATCAAGTATGTTCTGTTTTCTAAAGCGATATTAGGATTGTTTATCTGTTTCCTTTGGTTTAACTCGATTCTGACCGTTTTTTTTTATTTGATAAGGTTCATCATCTATTTCGTTTTCGTCTTAATAATATTAATATGAACAATAAAACCAATAGAAATCAAAAGTTAATTGATTTGTTATCAAAATGTATGATCTAAAATTTACTAAGAACGATTATTGTATCATATACCATCGGCTATACTACTATTTAGACAACAAATTAAACTTTTAATGTGATTGATGCTAATAATCAAGGATGTCCCGAGCGGAAGAAAGTTCGGGTGGTCATCTGTATCTTCTAACTGAAAACTTAGAATCATCTATTTTTTCAACTGTGACGTTCGAAAAATTAAAAAAATGTACAACTTTTGTCGTGTTCTTTTATTTACTATAAGATGAAACAACGCAAAAAATTTTCTTTTCATAAGTACTCAATGCAATGATACCGCTCTTGACGAGGTTGATAAGACGAATGACATGAACATTTTACAGCCTTCCACTTTTTTATTAGCTTTCTCTGATTTATTCCAAAACGAACAATATTTATTTCAATAGAATTACGGTTCGTCGTATATACCTTTTGTATGAAATAAAATATATCTTGAGATTAAATCATAATTAAATGTATGAATGAAAATGCGGTATTCTGCAAACAAAATTTTTTATTGTTTTCAAATAAAAAATAAAATATATATTCGAGAATTTTCGACTTTACACGGTCATTAGCAATCTTATAACAAATGTATTATTATTATATGGCAGATTAATTAAGTTTGGATATGTATCAATTTAGTTAGAGATTGGCATTATAATATATCGTTAAATGAAGTCATTGACAAGAATCTTAATTAATTTATATTTATTATAACTTCTATAGTTATTAATGATCACTTATTGATTACAAGATCATATTGCTACATGTTATGTTATAAATATAGGATTATATTAATACAAGAAAACTATTTTGTATGATTTGTCTTGCTTATGCATAAATTTTTGTTCTCTCTAGTTATTTTTTATAAGGTTGAGAATGACTATAAAAGGCTAGAAATTCCAGAATATGTTTTGTTTGTTAAAAACAATAAAAGATTTTATTTGCAGAATACTGTATTTTCATTTATTCGTCTATTTTTTTCGTAATTGAGATCATAATGAAACATTAATCGACGAACAAAGTTTCTGAATACCAGAAAATAAAATCTATACGAGTTGTGATTTCGAGAAAGAAAATATAAAGTTTATTGCAGTGATGAATGTATAGACAGACTCGAATTGAAGAATAGTACAGTATCGAGTAAGTATAGTACTACTAAGATACAGTACTAAGCGAAGGGTAATCTTACAGAACATCAGTAGACATATTAAAGGAAGGCTATGCGAAGCAGATGGTAGTGTAACAAGTAGCGCATTACACAAAAAAAGCAACTGCTATCAACAACAAATAGTATTAAGCTACATAATTTTGTAATGCAAGATCACTTATGAATGATATTGTTTTCATAATATTTTTTCCAGAAGAAAAATCCAACATGATGATTCATCTAGTATACTCATTTGAACAGCTTTTTCAGACTTTTGATAGTTCTATTGCCTTGAATATAAACTTGATGCATATCCAGATGTTATATTTTACACTAAAAGAGTAAACAAGAAGCTCAATTCAATATCAATTCAGAAATAGCAAAAGACATTTCAGAAGTGAATGTAAATCATAAAATCTGGTATTGAACAGGATGAAGATTACTTCGAACATATAATGTAAAAAAGATCAAAAATATTTTATTCTAGAAATAACAATTTGAAAGTGCGAGAACTTTTTGAGTATCCTTATTTAGATACAATTACTTCTGACTATAAAATCATCGAAAAATCTTTTTATTTTTAAGAAGTAAATGATGATATTATACAAAGAAATCTTCTTGTTAGAATTGTTATTGTGATATCTTTTATTTTTATCATACGACATGCTTTTCATTATAGAATATAACTAGCATTACGGACATGGTTTACTGCAGTCAGTATCTTTTGGTAAATCAAAAAGACGAGGATCTTGTGGAGCAATTTCCCATGCATCGTAATCAGTAAATTGACGAGGTGTTTTAAAATTAGGTCCCGAATAACGAACACCATTTCTAGGCTCATCAACATCACTCCAATATTCATGTTCCCAAGCGTACCAATGATCAACAGTTCTGCCATGTATCTCTTCTATTCCAAGCCATGTTGCACTTTGAAGCCAATCTCTAGGTACACCAAAATTACCCGGCATAGCTATGCAACAAAGATTCTGAGAAATAACATAGACATCTCCAATAATCAATATAGTACAACTCGATTCATTCAATGCCCAACCATAACAGTAACCGAAATGATCATGTCGTTCTTGACCATGCCATTTTCCACTAGCTGTTTGGTTTGTGTATGCATAATAAAAAAGACTACGATGAAGATGTGGTTGATTATTTTCATCAAAAGCAGTTATTAATGCTTGTGTTCTAAAATCAAAACATAGATTAATTCATCATATCTTTTCTATGAACAATAAATTTTACTTGAATCCATCAGGCCATAATGGATGTGATGGAGGAGTCTGACGTTCACATATAGCGAATGTCGTTATCACAAGAAATATTATAATTCTTAGCATATGCGATATTTGAGGTCTGTAGCCGTGGAGTGTTAATTGGGTTTTCTTTTAAAGTATGAAACTTTTTGTTATTTTCATTATGTCATATTTGCGTTGGATTGATGAGAATCTGATCAGATGTCTTAAATATTTCGATAGTAAGGATTTCGTTGCAAATTTTCATATCATTTACTTTTTCGCATTTTAGTATACTTTGTTTTATTAGAAGTGTAATAGAAAACGAAGACCAAAATGAATATAGACATTGCAAATAATTAATCAAGAAAAGTTTATTTTAAAAAACTAATATATAGAATAAAATTGTTCACGATAGATGTCAGGAAGTATTGATCAAAAAAATTCAAAAACGTATGATTGGAGGAATTTTATACTCTTGTTCTTGGATATAGCGTAAATTCCATGAAATATTTTGCATATATTCTTAATACAATGAAGTTAAGTTTATTCTTCTCATTTTGTACAAAATCTTATATAATGAAATGTAAAGAGATATTTTTCTTTTTTTTTATAAAGCCTCGATTGAGTAAGAGTATTTAAATAAAGTAGTTGTATTGTGCATGATTATTTATAATATAACTTTTTTTTAAATAATAAACTAGAGTTCTTAATATTTTTAAGATGAAGCGTGGAACTTTAATACTTGAAGATGGATCTGAATTCGATGGCTTTGTATTTGGTGCCTCGACTAATACAGCCGGTGAAGTCGGTAAGATTCTATTTTTTGATCTTTTTGTTTTTTTTTCTATCTATTTTTCTATCTATGTAGTATTTCAAACTGGTATGGTCGGTTATACTGAATCATTAACTGATCCATCCTATTGTGGAGAAATTCTAGTTCTTACTTTTCCACTTATTGGCAATTATGGTTTGTTTTTTTACATGTTTAGTTTTGAATATTATTTTTCATGTTTTCTTCAGGTATACCGGATGAAAAAGCTGTTGATGAGTTTGATCTACCTCGATGGGTTGAATCGAATAAAATTTATGCATCTGCATTAATTGTTAGTGCTTATACGGAACAATATAGTCATTGGAATGCTGTTGAATCTCTTTCATCATGGTTAAAAAAACATAACGTTCCTGGTCTTTATGGTTAGTTTTGTTTTTCTTTTTTCATTACTTAATAGAAATTATTAATTATTTTAGGTATTGATACACGTATGTTAACGAAAAAACTTCGTGAACATGGAACAATGCTTGGAAAAGTAGAAATGTCTCTTTTGTTTTTTTTTACTTTTTATTAAATCAAATATGAATAGATTGTTATGGAAGGAGTTGATCCAAAATCAATTTCATTTCAAGATCAGAATAAAGCTAATCTTATGATACAAGTTTCTATTCAAGTAAATAAATTCTCATGTTTATAATAATTTTCCATTGTTGAATTATTAGAAACCACGTGTCTTTAATCCAACAGGCAAATTATCGATTGCTTGTATTGATTGTGGTCTTAAAAATAATCAATTAAGAATTTTATGTCAACTCGGTGCAAAAGTAACTGTCTTTCCTTGGAATCATCCTGTTAAACAAAATGGTATTTTATTTGAAAAAAAAAGAAGATGAAAATTTTTACGAACTCTTTTATTTTATTTTTAGAATTTGATGGTCTATTTTTGAGTAATGGTCCCGGTGATCCACAAACTCAATGTCCAGAAACTATTGCAACAATTACATCATGGATTAAAAGTAAAACTGTTAAACCAGTATTTGGTATTTGTCTTGGACATCAGGTAAAAGATTTAAATCACTTTGTTTTATTGTTCAATTAGATGAGTTCATTTTGTTTCTTTTCTTCAAGTTAATGGCGTTAGCTGCTGGAATGAAAACAGCAAAACTTAAATATGGAAATCGTGGTCATAATCAAGTAAGTTTTTCATAATAATTTTCAGATCGACTATGATAATTATTTTCATATTTTAAGCCATGTTTATTGGAAGGAACTCATCGTTGTTTTATGACATCACAGAATCATGGTTTTGCTGTTCAAACATTAGAAGGTTTAGCGCAAGATTGGAGTGTTTTATTTACAAATCAAAATGATCATTCAAATGAAGGCATTGTTCATGATTTTAAACCATTTTTTAGTGTACAATTTCATCCTGAACATTGCGCTGGACCACGTGATACGGAAAATTTATTTCAAATATTTCTTGATGTTGTTCAATCATACAAAACAAACAAACCAATGAATATAAAATCATATTTAAAAGAACAATTAACCAGTCGTTTTAGTGGTGTTAATGCACCACCAGAAGCATTCTGTGATCGAGTGAACAAAGTATTGATTCTAGGTAGTGGTGGATTGACAATTGGACAAGCAGGAGAATTCGATTATTCTGGTATAAGAAACAATTTTTTTATATATTATATTTAATTAATTTGTTTTTTTTTAAAGGTACACAAGCAATAAAATCAATGAAGGAAGAAAATGTGTATACAATATTAATTAATCCAAATATTGCAACAGTTCAAACATCGAAAGGTCTTGCTAATAAAGTATTCTTTTTACCAATAACTCCTGCTTATGTTGAACAAGTTATTCGTAATGAACGTCCCGATGGTATTTTATTGAGTTTTGGTGGACAAACAGCATTGAATTGTGGTATTCAATTATATGAATCGGGTATTCTTAAAAAATATGCATGCAATATACTAGGGTAAGGAGACTTTTTTTTACATATTTAAAAATCATATATTCTCGTTTTTTTTCTAATATAAATAGAACACCAATTAAATCAATTCAAATAACTGAGGATCGATCTTTATTTGCTCAAAAAATGGCTGATATTGGTGAAAAAGTTGCACCATGTGAAGCTGTCACTTCTCTTGAAGAGGTTTGATCATAGAAAAATACAAAAAAACTTGAAATATTATCATACATCATATATTGTAGGCATTAGTATCAGCTGAACGACTTGGATATCCACTTCTTGTTCGGTAAGTAGATCTTCTTGATAAAGCCTTTTGAATAATTGTTCTTTTTCTATGTAGGGCTGCATTTGCACTTGGTGGTCTTGGATCAGGTTTTGCTGAGAACCGTGAAGAATTAATTCCTTTAGTTACATCAGCATTAGCACATTCATCTCAATTATTAATTGATAAATCACTTAAAGGTTGGAAAGAAGTTGAATATGAAGTTGTTCGAGATCAATATGATAATTGCATTGTGGTAAGTTTTATATTCAACTGTTTTTATGACACAATCGAAAAGAAGTATTGGACTATTTTATTTCCGAAAGATGAAATAAAAGAATGGTGAATAAATTTTATTCTAAACTAAATAAAATAAAAGAATCATCCTATGATTATTATTAATAGCTCCATCGTGTTTCATATCTTAGTCTTGTAGAGATTGCTTGCACTGCTTGTTTTAAAAATAATCAAATATTTGATATTTTTATTTTAAGGTGTGTAATATGGAAAATGTTGATCCATTAGGAATTCATACTGGTGAATCAATTGTTGTTGCACCAAGTCAAACATTATCGAATGATGAATATAATCTATTAAGAAGTGTATCAATTAAAATTGTTCGTCATTTGGGTATTGTTGGTGAATGCAATGTACAATTCGCATTAAGTCCATTTAGTAATGAATATTATATAATTGAAGTTAATGCACGATTATCTCGTTCATCGGCATTAGCATCAAAGGCGACTGGTTATCCATTAGCATATATAGCAGCTAAACTTGCACTTGGAATGAGTTTAGTTGAATTAAAAAATAGTATAACTAATGAAACATGTGCTTGTTTTGAACCAAGTCTTGATTATGTAACAATTAAAATTCCACGATGGGATTTAAGAAAATTTGTCCGATGTTCGAATAAAATTGGAAGTTCAAGTTAGTAATGACTTTTCATTGAATGAACAATTTTTGTTTCTTTGTTTGCTTATTCTTTAGTGAAAAGTGTTGGTGAAGTTATGGCCATTGGAAGATCATTTGAAGAAGCATTTCAAAAAGCTTTAAGAATGGTTGATGAAGATGTTACTGGTTTTGATCCGTATACAAGAACAATTACAGATGATGTAATATTAGTTAACTCTTTACTTCCTATAGAGATTGTAGGATAGTCACTGATAAAACACTTATTGAAATAGGATATATGTGTTTCTGATATGTCGAAAGCATAAACAGATCGATCAGATACACCCTCGTTTGTGTCAGTAGTTTCATCATTCTAATCACTATTGGGTGATAATAACTGGACTAAAATTCTATGTGAAACTTTGCATAAACCGAATATAGTTCGGTGAAAAAAATGTCGTCGAAAACTCGAAGTCGTTTCAATTTGTAGAGAATGGTTTGTTCTACCATTTCATGCAATGAAAGCAAATGTTATGCCAAAATTGTAGGTGTTATAAAAATTAAAGTTTTTATTTTTTGTAAAATTCGTAGTAAAAATTCTGTTTTATCATTTCTTTCTCACATTGCTTTTATGAAACTTTCTAATGGTATTGATACCATTCGTAGACATTGTCATCGTTGTGTATCACACAATCTATCTCCATCACATATCGTGTTTGTTGATAGATAAACATTTTTTTTCGAATTTATTGATTTTTCAACTCATCTTTTTCGAAGAGGGAACAAGACAAAACAAACATATTTTCTTATCAATTGATAATGTATAGATTTCACTACAAGACATGTTTCTAGAGTTTTTTAATTTCATATTTTCTTCGTTTTTTACACTCGTTCTATAAACAGTCACGCTAGTTATCAAGACGGAAATGATAAAGAGTTAAATATAATTTTGTATTTTATTTTAGGAACTAAGTACACCAACTGATAAACGTGTTTTTGTCATAGCAACAGCTCTTCGTCAAGGTTATTCAGTAGAACGTTTATTTGAATTAACGAAAATTGATCGTTGGTTTTTACATAAATTTTCATCAATTATTCAGTTTATCGTTAATCATTCTGATTCATCAATTGTTCAAAATCGAACACTTTTACTTGAAGCAAAACGTTTAGGTTTTTCTGATAAACAAATTGGTATGTATTGTAATACTACTGAGCCTGAAGTTTATGCATCACGTCAACGATTTGGTATACGACCATGCGTTAAACAAATTGATACAGTTTCTGGTGAATGGCCAGCACAAACAAATTATCTTTATTTAACTTATCATGGTAATATTGATGATATCCAACCAAGTACAAATGAAAAAACACCGATTCTTGTGCTGGGATCTGGTGTTTATCGAATAGGTAAATAGAAAATTTGTCTCGTCTTTTTTTTGTTTGTTAAATTTAAAGTTTTCTAGGTAGTAGTGTGGAATTCGATTGGTGTGCTGTTGGATGTTTAAAAGAATTACGACGTCTTGGTCATTATACTTTAAGTAAGATTTTTTTTTTTATGAAGAAAAGAAAAATAAACATAGAGTTTAATTATCTAGTGCTTAACTGTAATCCAGAAACTGTTAGTACTGATTATGATATGAGTGATAGATTATATTTTGAAGAAATTTCATTTGAATCTGTACTTGATGTTTATAATTTTGAAAAACCACACGGTATTATTTTATCTATGGGTGGACAATTACCAAATAATATTGCAATGGATTTACATCGACAAATACATGTTAATATTCTTGGTAGAAATTTAATTACTATTATTGATATGATGATTTCTTTTTTTTTTTCTTATTTTCTTTAGGTACTCTACCGGAAAGTATTGATACAGCTGAAAATCGTTTTAAATTTTCTCGATTACTTGATGAAATTAATATTCGACAACCAAAATGGAAAGAATTGTCAGATTTTAATAGTGCTAGTGCTTTTTCTGATTCAGTTGGTTATCCATGTCTTGTTCGTCCATCATATGTTTTATCTGGTGCAGCAATGCGTATTGTTTTTAATGCTAAAGATTTAAAAGCCTATTTATGTGACCATGGTCTTTCAAAAGAACATCCTGTTGTTATTTCAAAATTTATTCTTGATGCAAAAGAATTAGATATTGATGCTGTTGCATGGAATGGTCAAGTAGTTCGAATGGTAAACATTTAAAATGATGAATAATTTACAAAGAAATAACAAGGAGATTTGTTTTTTTTTTATTTAGGCTATTTCTGAACATGTTGAAAATGCTGGTGTTCATTCTGGTGATGCTACTTTAGTGACACCTCCACAAGATCTTAATGAAAATACTATTGAAAAAATTCGAATAATTTGTTTTTCCGTTGCTAAAGCATTACAAATATCCGGACCATTTAATTTACAATTAATAGCTAAGGTTAGTTTGATTTTTTTTTAAAACAAAATATGATTGATTAGATTTATTATTATGTTTAGGATAATGAATTGAAAGTAATTGAATGTAATGTTCGTGTATCTCGTTCATTTCCATTTGTGTCTAAAACATTTGATCATGATTTTATTGCTGTTGCTACACAAATTCTAGTTGGTGTTGAACCAGAATTGATCGAAGATGCACTTTTTCTTCGTTCAGAACGTATTGGTGTTAAAGTTCCACAGTTTTCATTTTCACGTTTATCCGGTAAAGAAAAATAAAATCTATCAACTTATTATTATTATTATTATTAAATTTTTTTTTTTGAAAAGGTGCTGATGTTTTACTTGGTGTTGAAATGATGTCTACCGGTGAAGTTGCATGTTTTGGTATTGATCGTTTTGATGCTTATTTAAAAGCATTAATAAGTACCGGATATCGAATGCCAAAAAAAAATATTCTTATTTCAATTGGCTCATATAAAGCTAAACTAGAATTATTGACAGCTATTCGTACTTTAAAAGAACTTGGTTATGAATTATATGCTAGTATTGGATCAGCTGATTTTTATGAAGCTAATAATATTCCTATTCATCCTATTGATTGGAAATATGAACAAACAGAAACCAATTCAATGGGATTAGAATATACTAATGGTAACAGTGATTCACCAACAAGTGAAAATAATACACAAAGAACAATTGCAGATTATCTTGCTAATGGTGCATTCGATTTAGTAAGCGTTTTTGTTTATTTAATTTTTATAAATAATGTTATTTGATAATTGTAGGTCATTAATATTCCAATGCGTTCAACAGGATTATTTCGTGCATCATCATTTGTTACTCAAGGATATCGTTGTCGTCGTTTAGCTACTGATTATAGTGTACCATTAATGACCGATGTTAAATGTGTTAAATTATTTGTTGAAGCTTTACGTCGATTCAATCTTCGAGAAACAAAAATTGATATGTCTATTGATTGTATTTCATCAACAACACTTCTTCGATTACCGGGATTAATTGATTGGTAAAAACAAAAGAAATTAAAAATTTTTGCATTTTTTTTAAATAATATAAATATCTTTCTAGTCATGTTCATTTACGAGAGCCCGGTGACGAACATAAAGAAGATATTGTTAGTGGTACAGCTTCAGCTCTAGCTGGTACGAGTAAAATTTTTAAAAATAAGATAAATAACAAAAACGAAACAATTGATCTTTTTTCTCAGGAGGTATTACGATGGTTTTAGCAATGCCAAATACTAAACCAGCATTAACAAATGCAACTGTATTAGACCTAACTGAAAAACTCTACGAAAAAAAAGCTTTATGTGATTATGGTTTATATATGGGTGCAACTGTTGATAATTTTCAAACTATTCCTGATATTGCATATCGATGTATTGGATTAAAAATGTATCTAAATACAACATTTGGTGATTTAAAATTAGACAATATGGAAATATGGATGAAACGTAAGAAAAATAAATCTATATACATACAATGTGTACTAAAATTATTTAACAAGATTTGTTTTGAATTTATTTTCGCTGACTTTAGCTCTAGAAAGTATGCAACTAATGATTTGAGTAGAGAAAATCGTTTTTAAAATGCATATGAGTAAAAAATAATTCCTATGAGATTCGTGAACGATCGGGTTTCCAGAAAATAAAAGTCCTAGTTTTTCAGTATCTAGAATCCGTTGATTACATAGAAAGAAGGAAGAATATCGCTGCCTTTCGGCTAATACCAGCTGCAGTTCTGAATAAAAGATCAGTTTAACACAAAGTTCTTGTACCCAATTGCTTGAGGCTCCAATATATATTAACTAACCGCATATTAACCATGAGAGCAAGGGTACATCACAACTTAGTCAGCATACTATCAGACGGGAATTATATATGTGCCGAACAACATAGTCATTCTATCATGACGGAGAACTACATAGAATAACAAAGCAAACAATACAGTAACGTTACCGAAGTCCATAAACTCTTTTTTTTTTAATTATTTTTCATACAAAAGAAATATTTTTTGATCTTCAATCAAATTATGTTATATGAGTCAAAAAATGTTTCAGAGAGCTTAGAGATAACTCGTTTTGCCGAGAACTATTTGCTCTATCATTTCATGTAACTGAAAGAAAATCATATTTACGTATTTTGGGTGCCGAAAAACTAGGATTTGATTTTCTGGATACTTTATCTTTAAGAATCTGATATAAATTATTTTTTTACTGATATTCATGTTGTAAACAATATTCTTTACTCAAGCCACTATTTGGACTCTTTCTAGAGCTTAATGCAATGAAACAAAATTAGAAACGAACTCTGTTAAATAATTTTGATACAGACTGTACATATATAAATATAATGTTGTTATTCATCATTTAGATTTTGAAACATGGCCACATAATGTGCCAATTGTAGTTCATGCTGAAAATCAAACAGTTGCAAGTATATTATGTTTATCTGAAATCTATTCACGTAGTGTTCATATTGCACATGTTGCTTGTCGTAATGAAATTCTATTAATACGAGCAGCTAAATCAAAAGGTTTACTGGTAACATGTGAAGTAACACCACATCATTTATTTCTTCATCGTGATAATACACAATTTATACTAAATGCATATGGTAATATGGAAGGCTTTCGTCATGTTAAACCTGAACTTCAAACAATTGAAGATTGTCAAGCATTGTGGGATAATATAGATATAATCGATTGTATTGCTACAGATCATGCACCACATACACGTGAAGAGAAATCAAATAAAGAAAATCCACCACCTGGTTTTTCTGGTTTACAAACCGTATTACCATTATTATTAACAGCTGTACATAATGGAAAATTAACAATTGAACAATTAATTGAAAAAATGTATACAAATCCAAAACGTATATTTAATTTACCTGATCAAGGTGATGATACATTTATTGAAATTGATATGGAAAAAAAATGGGTAATTGATGATAAATTCTTATTAACGAAATCAGCATGGACACCATTTATTGGTATGCCAATGCATGGTGTTGTTCATCGTGTTGTATTACGTGGTGAAGTTGTTTTTGTTGATGGACAAGTATTAGCTGAACAAGGTACAGGAAAAAATATAATTAATTTACGTGGTGAAATAAATCAAATGAAAAAAATAAAGGCATCACAAAATTTACTATTGGAAAATAAACGTTCACCTACTCATGCCGATCGAAAACGACAACGATGTAAATAATGACAATTCATATTTGTTGTTTTAGAATTTAAATCTTTTGTTCTTTTAATAGATGCTAGTGAGCCTAGTCCGCTAGATATACCAGAAAATATACTAAGAGCTGGTCCTAGTCTTGCAAAACATCATATACTTAGTTCTTTGGAATTAAATCGTACTCAAGTATGTATTTTGTTTTTATATTACAAGTATAGATTTTTTCATGACATTTTTTTTTTATTTTAGTGTCGAGAAATTTTTACATTGGCACATTATTATCGTAATTGTCAATTACATCATCGTCCAATAGAACCAATATTAGCTGTAATTTATTCAATTAATATCGAATAGTTCTTTTTTTTATAAATTGAAATTTGATTTTAAGGGTAAAATTTTAGCTCACATGTTTTTTGAACCATCAACACGTACACAATGTTCATTTACTGCTGCAATGTTACGTCTTGGTGGTAGTGTTGTTCCATTTGATAGTCAAGTATCATCAATTAAAAAAGGCGAATCACTTGAAGGTTAAATAATTTTGATTTAATGAATCTTTTGTTTTACTTTTTTTTCAATAATGTAGATTCAGTTCGAATGTTAATGAGCTATGCTGATGTGATTGTTATTCGTCATCCTGAAGTAGGTGTTGTACAACGTGCAGCTAATATTTCACGTGTACCCGTTATTAATGCTGGTGACGGTATTGGTGAACATCCAACACAAGCACTTCTTGATGTTTTTACAATACGAGAAGAAATTGGAACATTTAATGGTTTAACTGTAAGTTATTTTATTTGATTATTAATGAGACAAAAAATTGTTTAAAATCAAAATAAACAGATTACAATGGTTGGTGATTTAAAACATGGTAGAACTGTTCATTCACTTGCAAAATTATTAACTATATATAGTGATAGTATGTCAAAATCTAATTACTTTTTATTTTCGTTGATATTAATACTTAAACAATTAATTGTCTCTTTTCTTCTTAGAATCAATATCACTTCGTTATGTTTCTCCGCCTTGGTTAGCTATGCCTCAAGATGTCATTGATTGTGTTGCAGCTCATACTACTAAGCACGGCGAAATGTATCAACTCTTCATAGAAATAAGACTTTTTATAGGTTTCAATGACGTCAATTGGAGTCTGGCTTAAAATTCATGCAAATTAAAATATTTTTTGTTTAGAAATCATATACAAATCTTGAAGAAATATTACCAGACACTGACGTTCTTTATATGACTCGAATACAAAAGGAACGATTCACGTCCGAAGAAGAATATACAAAGGTTGTTATTTTTCTTTAATTTCAAGTTTGTGAAAATTAATCAATAAGTTTTTTTTTTTTTTTTTATTGTTCATAGGCTTGTGATCTTTATAAAATCACACCGAAGTTTATGCGTAGAGCTAAAAAACATGGTAAAATGATTGTCATGCATCCATTACCTCGTCTTGATGAAATAAGTACTGCATTTGATAGTGATCCTCGAGCTGCTTATTTCCGTCAAGCGGAAAATGGTCTTTATATTCGTATGGCTCTATTAACAATCATACTTTCCAAATAATGTTCATTGTAATCAATGATAATTTTTGTTATTTGTTATTTGTTATTTTTGGTTATTATTTTTGTTGATTTTTCTGTTTTTGTTATTATCACAGTTATGTAATCTCGTTTATGTTATGGTTTTCTTGAAACATTATTTTATTCAAGCATTAGAGCAAAGGATTTGTTAAAGATGTTTGTTATTATTTTCAGATAATGTCTAAAGCACTTCGATTTGCACCAGCTGTAAAAGAATTACGTTTACATTTATGTCAAAAATCACCAACAAGTGAAGGTACACGTCAATTTATTGAAAAATTTTATGTTAACTTAAAACAACAAAATCCATCAACACCAATACTCATTCGTGAATGTTCAAATATAAATCCAACATTATGGACACGATACGAATATGGAATTGAAAAACAAATTCCATTAACTGGCATGAATGCTGAACAAGTATTTAATGCTGTTGAAAATTTAACAACTAAAACGATTCCAAGTAGTTTAAATCGTTTGTCGAAATAAACTTTTGTACTTTCACTTTTCACTTTTTTTTGTCATTTCGACTAACCATTTACGTAGCTTTATTATTTTTCTCTTTTTTCTGTCCTTAAAAAAAAAATGGAAGCTCTAAACCTAATTAATGTCTATTTAACCTATTCATATTTGTAGATCGTTTATTATTTAGAATAAAATCATGGATGAAATTAAAAAAGATAATCGTTTTGCTCATATTACGAAAGATCCACGTTTTCGACCAGTGTCAAAAAGTGAAAGAAAATTAAAAATTGATCGACGCTTTGCATCTATGTTTAATGATCCAAAGTTTAAATTAAAATATACAGTTGATAAACGTGGAAGACCACTTGTTAAAGAACATACAACACGTGATGATATGAATAAATTTTATCATCTTGAACAAGATGATGATGATGATGATGATAGTAGTTCAACATCATCGGAAGAAGAAACAACAAAGAAAACAAAAGCAAATAAAAACTCTGTTGATGATGAAGAACTTGATGAATTACTTCAAAGTGATGAAAGTGATAATGAAGAAAAAGAAGATAATAATAATGAAGATGAAGATGAAGAAGAGGAAAGAAAGTCAAGTTCATCTGAAGAAGATGAAGAAATACCTGAAGTTAATGATGGAATCGAATGGAATGAATTTGATGATAAATGTGCTCGGTAAATATTTTTTCAAAATTGATAGCAATAGAATGTTTTTATGAACGTATCAAGAATGTGAAATTCGAATCACTTTTTTTGTCATGGTTGAATAGAACTCGTCGAAGGAGAAGCATAAGTCAGAGTATTTGAAATTAATATGAAGGAAACACTATGACCGAAAATTATTTTTTAGTATTGAGTATACTATTCCATACAGTCCTTTGTACTGATTCTGAATATAATATTCATTTCTTTTGAAACGGAAGTTCTGAAGGTTAAAATCTTAGAACACAAATTTGTATATATGGTGTTTTATTGTCATATCGAAAAAAACAAAGATTTTCTCAACAATATTTTTTAAAAAGCATGCATCTATGTGACGAGTAAAATCAAAATAAAGATTAGAATAAATATTAAGGCTACCGAGACTTGATGTTTTAAATAGATTTTAATTTATCTAGTTTTTTTTTGATTTGTTAAATCTAATTTTCTAAAGTTTCATTATAAAAAAATTATCCGAGAATACCAAAAACAACATTTTTATAGGTAACTTGACGAGTTGTATCCAACGATGTGAAAATAAAATTTGCTTAAATTTCGAATTGTTAGCATCTCAAATAAAAAAAAAAAACAAAATTGATAATTGAGTATTTTCTTATTTAGTTCTGATGAAGTTAGCCGTCGATTAGCAGTATGTAATATGGATTGGGATCGTGTACGTGCTGTTGATATTTTCATTTTACTAAATTCATGGAAATCACCAGATGGTGTCATTAAATCAGTTACTGTTTATCCATCCGAATATGGATTACAGCAAATGGAAGCAGAAAAAAAATGTGGTCCATTACCTGGAAGTACGAAACCTGTCATTACTACAGATCAGTAAGATTTATCTTTTGCTTATTTGATCTTATTTATCGTTTTGTGTATTTTAGAAATGGTATTGATAGTGGTCATCAAAGTGAAGCTGAAGAAGAACCCGAAGAACCAGAAATAAAGTCTGATGATGATGATGATGAACCAAATTTCAATCAAGATGATGATCAAGATACAACAGATCCAATAATGCGTGAACGTTTACGAAAATATCAATTAAATCGTTTAAAATATTATTATGCTGTTGTTGAATGTGATAGTGTAGCAACAGCTGCTCGTATTTATGAAGAATGTGATGGACTTGAATATGAAACAAGTGCTGTTCGTCTTGACTTACGTTTTATACCTGACTCAATTACCTTCGATTCTTCTATTTTACCACGTGATCAATGTACACAATTACCTGATAAAACATTATATAAACCAATATTATTTCGTAATACAGCATTAACACAAACCAAAGTACGTTGCACATGGGATGAAACACCTATTGAACGACGTCAGTTAACAAAGAAACAATATACACTTGAAGAATTAGATCAAGTTAATTTCGATGCTTATTTAGCATCAGAATCTGATGAAGAACTACAAGATGATGATAATATTAATGATGAAAGTGATGATGAAAATAATAAAGAATTAGATAATGAAAAGAAAAATGGTGATAATATTTTTAAAGTACCAACTATAATTCCAGAAAATTCAAATAAAAAAAAACAAAATCAACCTGTTATTCGAGCACCTAGTATACTTAGCAGTCAAGATGATATTGATCGTTACAGGTAAATTTTCAAATATTTGTTTTTTGTTTTTCTAATAAAATCTTTATTTTTAGAGCTTTACTTTTAGATTTCAATGATAATCCTAAAATGGATAAAAAACCAAAAAAGAAATTAACAAATTTTTTTGATGAACAAAATAGTGACAATGAAGAATCTAATCAATATAATGATGATGATAATGACGATGATGCTAGTGATATTGATATGGAAATAACATGGCAACCAGGTTTAAAAAGTAAAGCTGAAGAAAAATTGAAAAATTCTAATAATCAAAAAGAAAAAAATAAAAATAAAAAACAAGAAAAATCAAATCTTGTTAAAGATCAAATAGAACAAGAGAAAGATGACTCAATTGAAAATGATCGTGAAACACTTGAATTACTTACTGTTGATGATGATATTGATAATAAACGTGATTATAATCTTCGTGATATGATTAAATCACATAAACAATCTATAAAAGCTGCAGCTAAAAATGCTAAGAAATTAAAAAAATTACAAAAAAATTCATCCAATTCAATCGAAACAAAAACTAATAATAATGATTTTCAATTAAATCTTAATGATAAACGTTTTCAAGCTGTTTATACACAGCCAGCATTTAATATTGATCAATCTGATCCACATTTCAAATCAACAGCTGGTACACAACAACTTATTGAAGAAAAATTAAAAAAACGAAAATTCGATAATTTAACTTCATCATCAAGGACTGAACCTGATGAAGATGATATTGTTATTAAATTAAAAAGAAAATCAGCAAAAAAAGATTAATAAAAATCATAGCAATCTTCTGTATGCTGATAGGAATTTTGTTTTATCGTTAATTGATCAAAAAAAGAAAAAAAAATGCATAAAGAAACTTATCGATATGACACAAAGTGTTACGGAATTTCATTGTTTTTCATTGTAACATCTATATCATTATCGTGATAAAGACAAACACTCTGAAGTTTTAATCATAGATTTAGAGACTACTTAGATCTATTTATTACTATAGTATTTTGGTCTGAAATATCAGCTTGAGGAATAGCTTGTTTAATCATTTCTCCTGAAACATGACAGATCATGGAACATGATCTATGAAATGATTGAAAGAAAATATGTATACAAAAAAGTGTGACATAAGCTTTTGAAATTTACATATTTCACATGGATGACAAAATATTTGTGTTTAATGAAAGTTACGAAATACTATTGTCTTCTTCATATTGATATCAACATTTTCCTATTTATTTGGTTTTTTTCTATCGACTTATCTATAATTCTTTGCATTCTGAATATGATATATAGGTTTCTTTGATAAAGAATCATCATCGGTAAGCCATTTTAGTATCTATACGTTATGATACTTCTTTTTTTGATCATCTCACTTAGTAGTCTTCATGCTGAATGCCATCGCTAGTGGAAATAGTTTGTAAATTAATCTTCATTTCTTTTATAAGTACGCGAATAAGAACAATTGATTAAATTGCAATTAACAAATGATAGCTACTGTGTATAAGTAAATATTCAAATAAGAAAATTTCAAGAAATATGTCATACTGATATTTAAAAAAAATCAAGATAAAACATGTGTCTATCGTCTTTTAAAGTAGGGTTATTTGAACGAAGTCTTGTCTTCTATATAACTATAGCTATGACACAAAGAACATCGTGTATTGCATACTAAACAACAAAAATCATCAAAACTGGAAACTGATTTTGACACAAAAGAAGTATAGAACACTGAACGTTATTGAATTCCTAGTTAGAGCGTTCAAAATTGAATATTTTACGACGCAGCGAAACAGCATAAGAATAAATGTTGTGACTGACAGTTATTCGATTTTGAACAAGTTTTCGGAATGTCAGATCATTTCTTAACAAATATGTTTGCATTGAACAAAAATACTAGCAACTATTCCTAACTGCAAATTTTCGTACTTTGGCGAAAACCATAGTTTGATCCAGAATAAAAGCAAAAACGATCAAAATCAACGAAATATTCATCATCGGCGTCGAGTTCTTCATCAAATGATGTATTTTTTTTTGCTAGGACACGAAGAAAAAAGTCTTTAACTTTTTCAATTTGACAAAAGAGATACATCAAAGTATAGACCAATTCTGATTATTTTTCACAAGTTCATTTTGCATTTCATCACAATCCAATTTTTCACACCCTAGATCCTCCTAATGGCCACATGGAAAAATTAATGTCATCAAAAAACTGTTTTGGCAGTGTTATTGCAGTTATAAACTTTGTAAATACAATTTGAATACAAACGTAGAGATGTCTAGATGTCGAAATAGTTGTTTAAATGAAATTCATTTTTTTCATACATTCATGAGGGACCAGGAGTCAATGCCTGACTGAGAACAAATGATAGAAACAGTTTAAAAGGTATATAACTCGACTCAGTTGTTTGTACTAATTTCTAATATGATATTTAGTTGAAGTCAAGCAAGATTCCTTCTCCTAACAATAGAATCCAATTGTGGTGATGTTCAATATTTATCGCTAGAAAAAGAGTTGAATATCTTAGAAGTTCTTATAGACTCTAATAGAGAAAGAAATCCTGCATTACATGACAATATTTTCTACGAACCTCAATCAGAATTTGATGAACTTCCAAGTCAGAAATTATCTTTTGAGGGTTTCAAAGAGTGCTTCAAATCTTTCTTATTATCTGGGTACTTTTAAAAAATATGGTACATGTAACCAGCAAGCTTAGCTCTATCGAACGATAAAGAATTGCAATAGAACGACGATAGAAAATTTGTTCGATACTTAAGAGGTATCCAAGGTGTCAAAAATTGAATTACAATTGAGCACAACATAGACTTGTGAAAAATAATTAGGGTTCAATGCTGATTCTCCGGCTAATAAAGCTAGACTTAGATTGTTCGGAACGTTTGTTCGTAATTTGCCACACACCCTGTTCGAGAAAAATTGGAGTAAGATTTTTTTGGTAAACTAAATACTCCATCTTGTTTAGAATTCAATGATAATTTCGAATATATGTATGTTAAATGAACAAGAACAGTCTAAAACAATTAATAGTTTAAAAGTATCACAGTTTGCAGACATTAATGAAATTCCATAACACAATAGTTCGACAAAACAGATGCGAAAATTAAATCTAATTATGCTCAAAATCGGTGTATTTGATAGAATTTGTTGATTTCTATCGAGATTTGCTATTTTTTGTTACGAAAATTAGCAATATAAATGAACAAAACATACTATAAGTGAGTTTCATTACGGAGTTTTATGAAAAAAAAATACATGAATTGTAAACCTATTAGCTTGATCCACAGATATTTCATATTTGCGTTTAATTATATGTTAAAAGCGTACTCCATATGCTATCGATAAAAATCTAGTTGAAGAACATTTTCTATTGATTCATATTTATTCAAAGAGTAATATAATTAATCGTAGTCGAAAATTCAGAAAGATCAATCAGCTTATCTTAGCCTGGAGAGCAAAAGCAGGTGGTCCATTGACAGTTCTGATCTCAAACGTTGAAGACTTTTCAGGAATAAAAATACTTCCATTTCACATGCTATCGATAGTGATGATCCTCACGCTAGATTCAGCTTTCTTTACTATTGGGTACGAACTCTCCACATGCGTGGTTGGCTGATGATTGATCATAGTGATAAGTGAAACTACCGTTATAGAATTAACAACGATAATGAAGATTAAATTTTTTCCGAAAATTTAAGGAATATGTGTTTTTGTGATACATTGAAACGAAGAGCTATAAATACAAAATACTTTTCAAATTTTCTTAATCTTACATAAGTTAAGTAAATGTAATCGAAAGCTCAGAATCATTTAACATATTTCCCTCGCAAGTACAAACTGATAAAAACAACACTTGTTAAAAAATTTCAATCATCCGAGTTGTGATTTTTATGAAAGTTTTGAACAGAAGAAAAGGTATGGCTCATACCCTTTAGATATGCATCTATTTGTTTTTTAATGTTTTGATGTTTCAACAATAAGTTTAACAAAAATAACAATGAATTTATCCATCTAATTTTTCCTAATTCTTGTTTAGGTATATATATTCATAGGTATCATCCTATTGTTGTTATTTCCATTCTTATGAAACAAGAAGAGGGATAAAAATTTAATGGACCAAAAAAAAAAGAAAAAGCCAGCTCATGATTGAATGATAACAGATATTGTCAGAATGGAGAAAACAAACATTTGAAAATAAAAGAATGAAAAAAAAAAGAACTAAGAAAGTTTCTTCGTTTTACTAAAAAGAGTGTCAACCACTTTTGACATATTTTGAATGATCACCAAAGCATCTTGATATTGTGTATCCGATGGTGTTTCATCAAAAATAACTATATTTGATGAACCTTGATCAAGAATACCATTAAGTTTCTTATCTAAAATCATTTGAGACAGTTTTTTCTCGACAACATCCTTAAAAGAACACAAAACAAAGAAAAGAAATCAAAATTGTTTTTTTTTGTGCAATTCAATAAACATACTTGAGATAAATTAATCAAATGTGCAATGTGCTCTATTTGAACATTAGAAAATGGTTCAAGAAGACGACAAAGATTTTGTTCAAGTAAATTATCATATAATGTACCTAAATGTGAATGAATCATTGGATCATCAGATAATTCAGTTTTATAATCTTTCAATGCCTAGAAATAATAATTATAAATTAAAACAATTTGATATTTGTTTTATGTCGTCAATTAAATCAAACCTGTTGAAAATCAGCTAATGATCTTTTTTTACTTGCTTGTGCAACTGCTTTCATTGCATCAACATCTCGACCACTATATTTGAGTGCTAATTTAACTGACATAAGTGCATTAACATCATCCGGTCTAAAATCATTAGAAAAATAAAACATAATAATAAATTAAATATTTGAATTAATGAACATACACATTCATCATCACTTTTGATAATAACATATATTTAAGTGCAATAATACCCTTATTACTATTAATTTGATCATAACCTTCAAATGCTTCATAAAAATATGAAAATGCTGTTTTAAAATCTTTATCTTCAGCAGCATGAAGAATTCCTTTTTATTATAGAAAAAAAAAGAAGCATATTTTTATTCAAAATTATATAAATATTTACCTGATTGTAAATCAAGACTTGCTTGAAGTTTTGGTGGTGTATAAATTCCATTTGCTGTCGTTCTTGCTGATGTTAATGCAGCTCTATTAAATAAAAATAAGTAATTAAATTTTATTGTGTTTTATAATGAACTAACCTTGCTTTTTGTAAATTACTTAAAGCAAAATATGTTTTACTTTCAAGTAACTGAACTTCAACAAGTAATTGTTTATCATCAAGTTTTTTCAATTCTTTAAGTAATTGTGAACCAAGTATCAGTGCTTCATTATATCGATGTGTATCATAATATAAAGCAACAAGACGTGCCTAAAAAATAAGAATTTTTGTTAATATTCCATATAATAGAATTGCTTTTTTATTTTTACCTCCAGTTCTTGTCGAAGAAACGTTCGATTTTCACTTTTAGCCCATTCAATATTTTCTTGACACAATGAAACCTATATAAATCACATATATATTTAAATGTCTGTCACTGGAAGCTGTAGGACACGGGCCTAAGAATTTTGCACTCAAAAGGCTCTGGTTGTCGAAGAAATTTGTAGAATATGGTATTCAACGAATACAAAAACTCGAAGAAAAGTATCTCATACCTTCGTGGCGACAATTCAATTCTGATTAGAAAGTTTCATTGAAAGTATCAAAGTGCGATTCTCTTGGGTCTAAAATTTTACACCTGAGAGGTTCTATGTGTTACAATTCACATGAGAATCCAGTTAAAATTGAAATACGCAGACGAATAAAAAAAAATTTTTCAAGTAATATATTTTCATTTTAAAGATAACGCTTTATAAACAATATGATATAATTCACTTGTACAGGGGTGCTCGAAATAATACTAAAATGTATCATAACTTATGTGATTCGAAACGGTTAATGTCATCTGTAAAAGCTGCGCTGTACCGGCGGTGCTCTGATACTCAAATGATTGGTTATTCTCTGATCGCCACTTTATTGCGATATACAGATCAATCTACTTTCAGCTCTTAAGACTACTGCGGTAGTTCCAACAAACATACAACATGAAAAATAAAAAAACAGCACTAATAAGTATTCGACTATCTTCCTAATTAGTTGGTTTACAATTATATATGATACTTTTCTGTAAATATTTGGTTAGTTCAGTTTTTATATTTATGCAAGTGAGTAGCATTTACTACATGAGAGATATTATTACAACTGATATCCCTCAATGTATATGTTGAAGTATCGTAGTTTGATCCAAAATAAAAATATTGAAGAGAAGACATGTTGAAATGTATATCGAAAAAAAAAAAGTAATGTCTCTAGTTTATTGTTGTTCTCCTAATTATTTTGTTGATCTGTATGCATAACCAGTAATAAAGGGAGATGAGTATTATTCTTTAATAATGAATAATAATAGTAGAAGAATGTGAGTTAATTAAAAAGAACCCATACTAAAATCTCTAGATGAAATGAAATACTTAAATAGTTTGTCCTTTCTGTTTGCGAAACGGAAAAAAAAACGACATTTTTATAAATCATTTCTGTATGCGTTTATTAACCTGTGTGTAGTCCATTTTAAGGTATCAGCATTACGTCACAAAGAAAAAAGTATATTTTGTTAGTGAAAATTTTCTAAAGAGCTCTTATTATGTTGTTTCATGTATATAACAAATTGTTGTTATATTGTAGTACTAAAATCAATTGTGATTAATAACAACTCACATAAATACTTTTTTCAAGCCCATATCATGTTTATAGAACCATAATAAACTGTTTACTACTCATACAAGTATTTTTGCCTAATCTCATCTTGATATATAGACTAAAAAAATAAATCAAATTATTGATAAATAATATCTCTTATTTGTATATTGTTGATATTATTAAAGGTTACTGACTCAACAAATACATGACTTTTATACTCTTGTTTTTACAACATTAGAAAATATTATTCCAATCTCAACTAGATTCTAAATATTAAAAAAAAAAGATTTGACATACTTCTTCACCAGTACCAGCTTCCATATCAAGAAATAGATCCACAAGTGTTCGCACAAGCTTAGCTGCTTTAGCTTTGCTTACAAGACCAAGAAATGAACGTGTTGTTTTAATTAGAGATGCCAATGCTAAAGAAATAATATTAATTTATATTTTTGTTTTAATAGAAAAAAAGAATTATTTTTATACCTTTTGCATCTTTTGTTTCCTTAAAAAGTTTTCCAAGAGCAAGTATAGCTAATTCTTTAATTCGTGCTGAATCTTCATTATCAACAATAACTTGAAGTTTAACTATTAAAATCAAATATTCTTAGTTTTTTTTTTTAATTATTCAATATAACATTTTACCTAATTTTTCAAGTAATTCTTGAGCTGTTTTGTAATCTTTTCCAGCTAATGCTGTTTCAGCTTCTTCTAAATCGATTTGTTCAGGTAATTTCGGTTTTTCATCAGCCATTTGTTGTACACTATCATTTGTTGTTATACCCGGCATTGAATTTACTTTAAAAATCTACAATTCTAAATATATATTTTTTCTTTGTCTACCAGCAAATTTATTTATTTTATTTCTTTTTAAATTATATCAGCCAACTATGAAAAAAAATACATATATATCTCTAGATAAAAAGTAGAAATGAGAAAAAAAAAATATTTTTAAAGATAAAATGGCATGTCATTGGTTGATAACCAACAGTGTTGCCGAAGAATTTCATTTATAATAAAACGATTTTGTTTTAAACAATTTTCAGCATATAAATGTGCTCGAAAAACTGTTTGAAGTTCATCAATACGCGCACAGGTTTCAGAAGTTATTGATTGACTACGAAGAATCAATTCTAATAATGATAAGTAAGCTGTCGTTGTCTAAAACATAAAATTAAACTAACGAAAAAAGATTATTTTCGAAAAATATTCTTACTTCGTCAGTTATTGGACGATCTGATAATTCTCGACTTATGATTTCAACAATTAAACGACGATCTGAATCATATAAAAGTACGTCACTTGTTGTTGCTTGATCACCAAATAAATCAGAAAAAAATTTTATTACTGAATTTGTTGTTTTACATTCAATTGGATCAACTTGTTTTTGAAAAAAAAAAATAAAACAAAATAAAGTTGTTAGTTTGCATTTATTTTCTTACCACTTCGATTAAATAATAAAATTAATCGTTCAATTAATTCTCTACATGATAATTGTTCATTAACAGCTAATAATGTAAGCATTATAGGATTTTCATGAGGATAATCAAAACGTAAATTAAATGATAATATAAATTTAATTGCTGTTAATATTAATTCATCATCTTCACCATTATTTTCAATCAAATCAAATATACTTTTTAAAAAAACACAATTCGATAATTGACCTAAACATAATCATATAAATGTTCAAAGAAAACAAAATATGATATTTACCATAAACATGCACCGGAAATAATTCATTTGTTAAAAGTAAATCTGTTAGAAGACGAAGTGCAAAAGTCACCGTTGATTTAGCATTGTCACCTAAAAATATTTACATAATATATCTTATTGATTCTATGTTGTTTGATAAGCACAGCATACTCAACACTACTGTTCAAACTTAAATTTAACATTACATACAAAATACTATTTAGTTTGAACGGTAATATAAACATGAACAAAAGAAGCAACTACATACACATGCATTATATTTAGACACCTGTTGAACAAATACTATTAATACTTGTTTGAATAATTCGAATACAATTTGGTACTATTGGATGATCGATTACATTTGTTACAGAAAATGTTCGATTAATTTGACATAAAAGATGAACTATGTCACAGAGAATACCATGAGTTTGATTGCCAACATTCTAAAAAAAAAAAAAAATAAGAAATATTTTCTTTGAATAAATAAATAAATAAATTGAATAACGAACCATGCCAGTTAAATTCATTAAATCACCTAAGCGTAATTGTATATCTTTTTGTTCAATTAATTTCGAAAGTAAAGTACACTGAAGACTAACATGAGATTGCTAGAATATAAAAATCAATAATTTTTTTTTATAATGAAGAAATCAAAAAAAAAATTAAGAAGATAGAGCAAACAAATTTTTATAGTCTATGTTGATTATTTTTTTTCTGTTCCTATCTTATGGATTTATTTGCCTCAAGCTATTCGAGTTCTGAAATAGAGCAATCCAAGAACACTCTCGAACTTATTCTTTTGAACATTCGTAAAAAATTGATTATAATTTTTTATGACATTGGTAGGCAGACTACAACTCTATTTATAATCTTCATCCATCAAAAATAGCTCTGCGCATCTATGTGATCGGAAATTCTGTGTTCAATGATTTTCCGGAAATAGATATTATAAAAGCTATAGAACTCATATCAGACATCCATTATGAAAACAAGAATTTTTTGTTTCCTTATGAAATTTTTTATTAATGCATTATTTTGATTTTTTCTTACTAATAATTCTTGTAATTGACGAATGCTTTCAAAGAGTGTATTAGCATCACGTCCTAATGTATAGTTTCGTTCTTCACAATCATTTGAACATATACTTATTGTTTCTATTAGTTGTCGAAAACGGCGAAGATCGGGATGATCATTACTTTGATCAAAACGCTAAAAAAAAAGTAAAACATAAAAATTCTAATTTTACGAGTTTCTTGTTATAAAATTACTTCAACAGCTTTTTCTAAATCATCCCATTGATTATCATTCATATGTATTTGAGATAAATAAGAAATAAGTTTAGAAGATAATTGTGAACATGTAACATAGCTTGAATGTGTTGTTGAATGTATCAATGAAATAATATCACTAACTATTTCATCAGCATGTTCAATCGTATTATCATCATCATAATTATTCATAATTATTGAATCGTTCATAAATAGAATTTTAATAGATTAAAAGATAAAAAAAAAAAAGAATGATTGATGTCGATAGGATCTTTATAAATTTGTCGCCAAGAATGTTTTGTTGTGTCTGATAACAATTGTAGCGTCATAAAAAGAAAATAAATGGCAATTTTATGTAACATAGAATTTGATTGGTTTAAAAATTTGATCAATGATAGTTTTTGTCTTTCTATTTGCTTGCTTCGTTATGTGATCGCTTATTTACTCAGTCTGTCTGTCTGTCAACATTCGTTCGTTCGTTTAATCGGTGATACAATCAAACCTTTGTACTTCTTACTCAATTCTTATCCTTTTTTTCATTCTAGCAATATGGTAGTTCATGATCGTATGTATACTATGATAAAATACATTATCTTTAGTTATTTGTTTTTCAATAGATGATGTTAGCCGCTTTGCTGATCGAAGTCGAGAGCTTTGGTCTGAACGAACGATGTCTGAAATACAGTATGAACAGAATAGTTAGTTGATAGGATTCCCAAAGTTTTTGTTTTTTGTTGGAAACTGTTTTTCCTTTTGTATAGATTCTTATCGTTGTTGTGGAAGTTGTCCATTAGCATCATTACTTGCATTTCTTTTAACATTAATTGGTACAGGCATTTGTTGTGGTTGTCTTTATTATCCACTTCAAGCAACAATTGAACGAGTTAATTATGTATTCGAAATAGAATATATTGATTATGATTGGTAGAATATATAAAATAATTGAAATATGCAGTATTTTTTTGTTTTTGTTTTTTATTTTCAAGGATTCGAATTATACGCTTAGCTATCATTTTTGTTCTGACTATAATGGGAAGTTTTTCATTGATTTTATTTATTGTCGGATCATTAGCTACAGGCGCTACACGTCATCAAATTTATACAGGATTTCGTTCTCGTTTGGGAGGTCGTATTGCAACTGGTTTTGTAAGTTGTAATAAAAAAAATTTACGCAGCAGGAAGCAACATGAATTGAATATATTTTAGTTTATTATTATTGTTTATATCTTGTTACTCATTTGGTTATTTACTATGTTAACATTAGTGGTACCATGTATGGGTTTATATATTCTTAAATATCGTTGTGACGAAGCATTTACAACACCGACAACATCTGGTGTAACAAATACTGCTTTACCAGTATTATGTCTTACACCAGGAACTTACGGAATTCCTGTACCAAAACATAAACCTGATGTAAAAGTATGTCAACAACGATTTTTTGAATTATGTACACTGGTAAAAGCTTTTTTTTTTTTAAATAAAAAGTTTATGTAGAGTTCTTTATTCATTTTCTACTATAGACGGATCATACACCACGATATTTAGCAGCTTTAATTGGTTCATTTTTGGTTGTTATGGGTTTGGTAAGAATGACTATTGTTCGTTATTTTATTAGATAGAACTTAAATAAAATATTATTTTAGATTCATTTTCTTTGTTCTCTTGTTGCTAATTATGCTCATATAAAAGATGGTCGAAAATTGTGCGATTATGAAGAAGCAATTCGTGAAGAAATTGAAACATCAAAGCTTCATCGTGGCTAAACAATATTATTTGTGCAGTGAGATATATTTATTCTCTTCTTTATATTATCTTGAATGAATAGAAAATCAATTTTTTTTTTTCAATCTTTGTTTTGTTTTTGTTTTATACATACTTTATTCTTATTCATATGCGTAGATTTGTGTGAATTAAATCGTTCAGCGAATAATGATATTCGACTTGTCAGATGTATAAGTCTTTTTTGAAAAATTTTGTGCAATATTAGTGTGTATTTATATTATCGTGTTGCTTCTCAGGTTTTTTTTTTTGTTAGTTTCAAACTTTTTTCTTCGAAACACAAGTGCCTTTTTCACTTGACTTGTATATGAATATTGTCTTATCTCTCTTTATACTGCTCGTTTGTTCTATTAAAATGAATGAATAAACATACAGTTTACTTTTCGGAATATAATCTAATTAACATAAAAAGACGTATATTATGGATATATAGTCTACATGTTGTAGATCTACGTTTTGGATATTTTTGCTTTCGATTCATTCAAATAATTTATTCGCATGTTTGAAGCGGTTATAGCTGCATTACTAAAAGGTTATGTTGCCCGCTATGTCGATATAAATGCTGATCAATTGTCTGTGCAATTGCTTTATGGTCGACCGATTGTGGTGGAAAATTTAACATTTAACAAAACAACACTTAATAATGATATTCGAAAAAAATTAAAATTACCGATTGAAATTGAATCCTTACATGTTGGTAAAATTCAATGTTCATTTGTATGGAGTTCATTATTTTTTCGTTCATCATCACCAGCATTAACTATTCTAGTTGAACATGTTCGTGCTATAATAAAACCAATTATTCTTGATGATAATGAAAATCAAACAGAAGAATTTGTTGAAGAAAATGAAATAGTTAAAAAACGAAATCATTTAGATTTATCTGAACAACAATTAGAAAAAGAATTTGAATATCTCGGTGAAGTTAAATCATCATCATGGAGTTTAAAACGTTTAATATTATCGTTTTTAGAAAAACTTCAAGTACATATTATTGATGTACATATTAGTTATGAAAGTTTTACATCTGATAATAATCCAT